GGAACCGAAGACAAAGAGGGGGCACCAACATGATCGAACTCTGGCTTATTTGAAGATGAACGAACTGGAGGCATCCTCAAGTCATTGAATCATGAGATGTTGGCCATGTACATCGATGTTGTTCCCCCTTATTTCCCGGAAAAGCGTTTGTTTTGTAGTCCTCCCTGGATTCAACGTTTTTCACAACTCCCTGGCAACCGTGGTGTTCCACCATGCTTGGCCCTCAGGAAGCTTGGCCACTGTACAGCTGCAAAGTGGGCGCGAAGTTGCGTGAGTTGATTCCGCTGCGGCTGCTGCAAGCACCGCTCGAGGAGGGCATGCTGGTACACGTGGAGTTGCCAGATCAGCGTGGTACTTGGGGATCTGGGCGTGTTCTGGAAGTACCTCTTTGGCAGAGAACCCATCTCACATCATATCCCAGCTATCAGGCGGGGCTTTCGGCAACACGATGGGCCTGCTATGGCCTGCTGGCATCGCCAGAATCGGGAACACGTGGAGATAACAAAAGAGATCAAACGAGTATATAATATGATTGGGAAGCGCACCCCCGGACCAGTGTGGACGGGAACTTGACTTCCAGCATATACATTGCGGTGGTTCGGTCCTAGGCAACTGTTCCAGTCCCATCTCGTGTCCATGAGGGATGGCCTGAGTTTGGTCGTTGAGACATCCCTCTTCACCGGTGAGGCGTCATGCCACGATCACCAGGTCATCTTGGGAGATAGCAAGACCGTCAGTGTGTCCTTCGAGAAGATCAAGCGAGTCTTTTTCCAGGATCAATTGGTGGAGGCCTACATGGGCCGCATCTTTGGCTGGGCCTCCTGCAAGCAAGAATGTCCGTTGGGAGCGTTGACGTCCTTGATGGGTCACAAGGGAGAAACTCGGGGATGACGTGGAGGGACTGTAGATGTTTTTGATGATTGCTGGATTCTATGCCAGAACCCCCGTGTATGTAAATACCACCCCAACGTAGACATATGTAATTATTTAAGTAATGTAAAACACATTAGGCCTACAACCGAATTCAATCCTGCCGGTCCGTCCGATCGAAGTGTCCACTTGAAAGACAGAAAGAATGTAACAAAACAGCCCCCCCACGCCAAACGCTTCCATGTGTACAACCGTTGCCGGCTGCCAAACGCAGAGCTGGATGCTTTGGATGTGCGAGTTGTGTTCTTTCGTGGATGGCCTGCCCTAGCACTCAAGACCACTCGAGAGTGGAATCCATTGTACAATATTGATCAATAGCTGTACAATCATGTGCAAATAGAAATAGATGGTCGTTCTAATTCCCAGTACTGAAGGACGGACATTGTATTTGTAAGTAAATATGATATGGATCAAACATATTATATAGTCTTTTGCTGACGAAGCACTTAGGTTTACATTTAAAAAACCGCTGATTGGATGATTGTACACGTCTCGTTTCTCCGGATCATCCGATCATCCAGCGTAGAGTTCCTCACCGACTCCAGCGTGGAACTGTTCGACGTCCGAACCCTGGGACGCCGAGAGCGTTCGGCGTGTCGACGAGTGGAGTGCTGTGTGTCGACATCAGACGCGGCGCGTGGTCGGTCGAGTGGAGTGCTCGCGGCCAAGCAGTGCTTTGACATGTCAAGATGGTATGTCATCATGTTTATTTAAAATGCGATCATGATCACTGAACGACTCGCTTCAGAGTCCCACACGTTTTGTGGGTCTTGTCCTGATTTATCCACGGAAAGAGGTCTTGGAATCCAAATGGGGGAGCTTGATGAATCCACAGTCTACCTTCCACTGTGCCAAATGTGGGGCTATCGGGACCACCTGCGCCAGCGAGGTTTATGGGACGGTAGCGGAGGAGGTGGTGGAAGAGCCAGGTGCAGAGGTGAAACTGGTGCTGGTGTGACTGGGAAAGCAGATGGAAGAACCAATCGACCAGACGGAGGGAGGATGTGGAGGAAGCAGCGATGCGGATGTGGAGATGTATGGATATGTGGATATGTGGGAATCCTAACCCAAGAACCTGGTGAGCCAGCAGATGAGGGTACATTTTGGATACTATATATATATATAATCTTCCGCTGGATCCTCCATAGGATTGGTTTTCCACACCAGCTTGCCCAACAACTTGTCAGGGGATTTTGGCCATGGACGGCGGGTCAGGGGATGGAAGGAAGACAGGGTTCTTCACAATCAACGCTCATGCAAATGAATATTGAATAATATACACAGTGGTCTAGTTTTGGTTGGTTTGGGCCGGTGACCATTTCAATACTCTAAAAACCACCAGGTGTATCCACATACCTCCGATGAGCTTTCTACGAAATTCTGCGAGAGGGTCGGGTCGTGTGGATCTCTACGTGAGTCCATTTTGGCCCTTTGAGCCCGACGTTCACATCGGTCACTTGGATTTGGGCTGATCGGGGTCGACGGTGGAGGGGGCAGACTGCATGGGTGGCAGCAGAAGATTTTGTTCAGGCTGTTCGGGTGCTTTTCCAAGCCAAAGCCTCCAAACCAGACCTGAAACCATCTGAAACCTGCAAGTCTAAGGCGAGATGAGCTCGCAGTGACGATCCCCTCCTTCCTGGCAACATGGCCAAGGAAGCCGGGCCCGCGCATGGGTGGTGCTCCATCCGATGGAGCTGCCGGTCCGAGGACCTCGGTCCGGTGAGGTCGGTTGCATGGTTTGGGTGTGAAGGATGGTTTGGCCCCCGAACATCGGGCATCCAAGGAGCCAGTGGTGACACTTTGGACTTCTAGGATGTATTACTGTATAATATATATATATATATGTGTGTGTGTGTCAATGTGCTTTTTTTTTAAGAGCTATATTTAGTTGCTACGTGTATTTGCATAACACATATCTGTTCTACACTATATACACATTTTTCACACGATATGGTGTATGGGTATCGGATGTTCAAGACTACTCACGTGCTCGTTTTCCTCACTCTCAGCTGATTGCCGTTCCTCCTTCCGCTTGAGGTCCGCTCCCGACCTGCTTTGACGGCCCGGATCTGAAGCGCGGAACCGGTGGACTCACCGCGATCGAGTGAGCGATCTGACGGAGAGCAGTGCGCCCGAGTGGATCTCGGTGGCCGCAGCCAAAACGTAGGGCGGTGGTGTGGGAGACATCTGAAGCACCTGTTTAGCAGATCGATCGACATTTTATTGTAAATGAGTTGACAGGAATCATCTCATGCGTAAGGGTGCGTAAGGGTTGGAAGTTCGACAGTAGTTTTGATCAACGGACAATATGAGCGTGTGCGTGGTGATGAAGATGATGAAGTCAAGTCAAGTCATTATGTCCAATTAAGTTGGGTGTCTTGATCAAAGTGCGGGAAGTTGCTGTCATTGAAATACCCTCATTCTTCAGAAAGCGATTGAACAACTCCTACGATGCCAAAGCCGGAAGCACTTCATGTTTCAGACCGGCCCTCTCGCTTGTGCAACAAGACAGAGATGCTCAGGGCTTCTCAGAGAGATCCGCAGCAGACTTTAGTGTGGGAGGGCCCCTGCAGGGATTGCCTTCTCGACTCACCGCCTACTTCTGTAGGCAACGCGAAAGTTTTTTTTGCGCCACTTATGGTGCTAATTTAACTTGCGTGCGCTGGATTGTTGGGTCTATGCATATAAATGTCTATGTTACATATGCATTCATATATGATCATATATGTATTTTTGTAATATACGTCCATCTATGTCCATATTACTTGTCTTCGCATTTCTCCGCATGCTCTAGGATTCATTTGTATCGTAATGAATGTTTGATGCAATTCTGACGAGTTGTAGTGCGCAGCTTTGCATGTGATCGTAGTCTAGGTCCAGAGGTGCAATCTGCACTTCTCTGTTGTACGCTTGTGCGCGGCTTCGAACTGCATCGCATACAATGCGTGCAGCATCAATTGATGGACCACATCGCAGCGGTACGCCGCATGGTGGACATGTTCCAGATGGTGAACAGTGCGCGGTGGTGTTTGAGCAGCGACTGAACTCACCATGTAGAGTTTGAAGCTCAAGTTCTTTGTGAATTAGTGCGAGCAAGTCTTTCTTTGTACAGGATATTTCCATTCGGGCTAGAACCTTTAGTGGCCATCATGGCCAGGTGTTCGAAGAGAAGTAATTAGTCTACATTGTCTACATGGCCTGCTTTTCTGTGTACGACGATGCCCTTGCTTGGACCGCCTTTGTGAATATCGACTCAAGGTAATTCTTGCTTTGTGAACTGTGACTGTACTAACCTAGATCATCCATGTGCTTCACAAATGTTCTTCCTTTCTTTTCAGGCTGCAATGGGCATCCCACTGTCAAATCTCAAATCGTCATCTCTGTGACTATGGTGACTATGTTAGCTTGCTGTGGAGTTGTATACTGTAAAAACTTGGAAGATGCCCCCTCACTCACCCAGGCGGATCAGGATCTCCCTGTGGAAGACCGAGAGGGATACGCGGGATGCGCATACAAGACCTCTATTCAACGAGCTTGTAAAGCCATGTGAAGCCACCGTTTTCTCTGCAAAAAAGACAGGATTTCTCAGAGGTTTTAGGCCCAACCCTCGGTGACCGAGCTCTCCGTCCTGAAGGGACCTGGGGTCGCCAGCTCGCGCCGAGAGAAGATGGTGAAGCAAAAAGGAGTTGGGCAGCCGGGCATGGCCGGGCAATATGGGGATAGATGCCGGCCTTCTTGATTCTCAGATTGAATGTATGCAACGGCTTGATACCAGGATCCAAGAGGCATACTTTATATGTTTCTTACTGTATAATACTGTATATTGATTTCGTGGTTTTTGAAAACGCGGCACGTGTTTTGAGCCTGACTCATTCGTGATCCATGATTCAACACAGGACAACATGATGGATTTCCTCTAGCAGCTCCCCAAGTCATGAAAATGATGCACAAACACGATCAAACATGCAGGAACAACTTGAGGAGAAATATTGATCACATCCTGGACAGTCGGTTCCAGTTGGCACAATCTTTTTCTCCGTGTCATGGTCCAGTTTTCCTTGGATCTTGAGGTTGTTGGCCAACATGGCCACACGGGAGGTGCGCGAGAACGTTTTGACTTGGAATGCCTTGATGAGTGCCTGCCGGCCGGGTGAAGAGGACGAGGTGGAGGAGGTGCAACGTGGCGCGTTTTCAGATGCAGATGTAGGACATGTAAGCTCTAGACCATTCTGGCCCACCGAGACCGCGAAGCTCACTAAAGCAGTCCCCATTCTTTGCTGGACGACCGAGATGTTCATATTGGGTGGACACAATGGTGTCTCACCACAGTATCAAGCCAGTATTCCCCAGCAATAGCCAAGCGCAGGACTCTTCGGTGACTCGTATGATGCAATTTGTTGTGGAAGCCAGGGTTGTTTTGAAGCAAACTCATCTCCAACACAAGATCAAGCAACATGTCCCTGCACAAAACCCAGCATCAGGTCACTGACGGTTGATCTACCCAAATATTTTAATGCATTGTTGATTGTTGTGACCAATGCAACAATTCTACTCACCAACATCTACTAGTATATATATATATATATATTTATCTTAATATATAGATGGTTGTGTCCCTACAGACCCTCTTTGGACTCCTGCAAGAGCACAATAGAAACACCGGCCCCTGGTTCTTACGGTTCGGAGCGAGCCGAGCCTCGTGACTGCTCACGCGCCGGCACCGCTCCCCGCCGCGCGGCGGGGCCTAGCTCGCTCGCGGGTCCAGGCGGTCCGAGCGGCCGAATGGCACCAAGGACTTCATTGCTTAGCGCCTCGGTCGACGGGTGATGACATAGGAAGCGAACCTGGAGGTATTATTGCGTCACAGTTTGCGTCACTTTCTCTAAGTTGGTGGCACCACAGAGGTCCCACCGATTTGTTCGGCACAGACGACCAAACTCAACGGAAAAGGATTCTTGTTTGGAGCCATTGGGGTGGGTGATAGGCAGAGCTTTATTATTAGTAATTGGGTCATAATATATATTTTTATATATTTTTTATATTGAGAGAGAGATATTTGTTATGTAATTAATCTACCACATTCAATATACAATACACACATTCAATATACAATACATTATAAGATGTTGTATACACATATATGCACCATGTATTCGTATGAGGCATATTGTCAAGGCCTACTTGCGTAGTTGTTTTATTGTCACATGACCTTCGATTCAGTGAATCCCGGAGGGTCCCAGCCTCTTTCTGGGCTTTCCAGCTCAGTGACAAGGCCTTGATGGGCCAACGGTCGCTACAGCTCAGTGACGCCAGCCGACACTCGCCTGGAGGAATCGACAGCGCACATGGATGGAATCTCCGTGTCGAAACTCCACTTGGAATTCCCATGGAAGTGGTTCGAGGTGGAAAAGTGGAGGTACGCGCCTCCCCATCGCAGGTGCAGGCGCGTACAACTCCATGGCGATTCGGGGGGTATTGGGGGCACCCCACTCGACCATGGCTGCGGAAAAGGCTGCCTTTCAGGACAACGGCTCTGGAGTCAGACAATGACTCCTGGTTGAACTCAACTGACTCCTGGTTGAACTGAACGCTCCAAGTGTCAGAAGATGTGAAGGTGCCATTTTGGGTGATTCACCGAGACTGCCGTTGAGCCGTTGAGCCCCTTTTTGATCCGAGACTGACGGCTACCAGTATCGTTTTGAATTGGTCATTCTATGAGATGGGGGGCTGGTTCTGGATACAAGTCTGCTTGGTGAGCGCTCCCCCACTCTTGGCTGGTGCTCACCAAGGCAACGTCCCTTTGTGCTCACTGGAAGAGACCAGCTCGGATCAGGCCAGCATGGCTGATTGCAGAGGGGTTTGGGAACGATGCGCGCATTTGCTTCTGTTCACCATCTCTGGTGAACGAATCAAGTGAATACAGATGAATACAGATTATGAGCAACGGGTTCGGTTCTTTTCCTCTCTTGAATGAGGAGTCTTAACGCGTTCCGCGGAACCCGCCTGGGAACCGATATGTGTTAGGTATATATATATATACTCCGATGAGAAAGTGAATGAGGTGACTTTTTCTGTTGCGCAGGTTTAACCGGGGCATTCAGGTGTGTTGCCCCATCTATGCGCCCCGTAGCTTCAATACAGGAAAGTTTTGGATGATTCTGCGCCTAGAATTGCGGAGATTGGGACCGCTCTGGCGCGGCCGTCCCCGCTATATTGTTTGGAGTTGCGCCAACAACTTCCCCCCCGATATGCATGTAATTATTTGTGTGTGTGTGTGTCGTGTGTGTGTGTTTGTGTGCATGCGTTCAGCTAGATTTCTGTTCTGCTTTGGTGAGGTTGAAGTGGGATGATTTGTGAGGGGAGTTGCCTTTGTGGGATTTCTGTTCCCGTTCAGGAAAGCATGGAAACTGGTGTCCCATCGGATGGTCGTTTTGGTGCAAGGAAACTGGCGCAAGTCCAGTCGCTCCAAGAAAAGTGGAAGAAGTCCATGATGGGAACGTTGCAGGGATACTCTGCACTCCGGGAATCGCTTCACACCTAAACTTCCCAAACTAGTGATGGCTTGTATATTTGACTTATTTTTTCCCGGATCATAGGGATTTTGTTTAATTTGTTTCACTCCTCGCCTTCCTTTTGAAGCACCCTTGAGTTGGTGGGGACCCCACCGACCTTTCTTTCCAACCTGTTTCGATGCCGTTTCTCGGGATGTGTTTTCACCCGTTGCTTGGGGAGAAATCCTTGGGTCGGTCCCTAAAGATCAGATGAACGAAACACATTTCAGGCAACGTAACCCAACTAACTATATAGGGAAGGACCCTTTCAGAACCCTTTCAAGGTTCACCTGATGAATAAACCCCCGTGTTGACTGGGCCGTTCATCTCTCCAGAATTGGGGCGTTTATGGTGCACCAAGTCAGTCAACACATTCAATCTCTTCGTGTCTTGGTGAGTCATGCCAAACCGACGAGGCCAGGGATGAGCTGAAGGAGATGCGACCTAGGCGGTGGCACTCGTGGCGCGCGTGGCGCGGGTGGCCGGGCCTTGCTATGAGACTTCCTATGAAAGCAACAGGGCTGTTGCATGCTGTTGCTCAGTAGAGGAGTGAGGTTTATCAAGTGGTTCGGCCAGAGGCTTACTTAACATTGAGCCATGTTAACATGATTCATTCTTGTTGTTTGTTCATTTTTTTGTCCTTTGTAGGCGCTATATATAAGTCCATCGATTGGATCAGTTGCCTTTGTTTGTCATGTCTTCGGGTTACATCCTTCCTCCTGCACAAAGGTTAGGATATGTTAAACAGTTAGGAGGTTCCATGTTCAAAATCAGAGGAGATGCTTGGGTTTGACACTAATCCAGCTGCAGAGGAAATACAACAACAACAACAACA